TCCAGGTCCTCTTCTGTAGTGCCTGCTATCCAGTTCAGATCTCCTGCTTGTGATCTTTTCTTTCCTCTCAAATGCCAGACTGACCCTCTTTGTGTTTAACCGCCCACAGGATGGAGACCCTCTGTGATAATGAACCTGCTCTGAAAGGTACCGTATGGGTTTACATCCTCCAAGCAAACACACACGCGCACATGGCTTCCAGCAAAGGAACAAGCGTTCTTTGTGTCTCACGTTTTACAAATACTATAAGCTGCCTGGACTTAGCACATAAGTGGACCAATCAGAGCTCAGAGACTATGGAGGAGGCTGGCTAATAGGCATTAAATCAAATCAGATGGGAATGACTGAATATTATGGGGACAGGTTATTAGTGCTGCTGGTGAGCTGCTCAGTGGCTACTGGCAGCAGTAATCCATTTTACCCAGCCTTTGCTTCAGACACTTTTGCATAAATACCTGCTCTATTATCATGCAAGGTTATTTCTGGTGCAGTTTATTTTTGTTTCAAAAGCCTGGACAAGGAGATTCACACAGTGTTTGGTAGGGTATTAGTTTAACTGAGGTTAGAGAATGTTATAAACTGGGAAATGTCATTTAGGTGGTAAAAGTATAGTAGTGATTTACCATAGTAGATATGGAGTGAGAAAGGGATGTTCTTGAAGCAAGAAAGGAAGAAGGAAAGGGAAAAACTACAGCTGAATATAATGTTCTCAACAGGATTCCGTAGTTGCAGTAACACACAATCTAATCATAATAATAGACAAATTATGTTAGTTATGCTAGCAGACCATGGGAAAAATGGTGTGTGCAGGTTTTTGTTGTTGTTAAACATTTACATGTTATCTATATTATTATATTTCTAGATTATGTATTTTAAAGAGCCCTCGTGTGTGATGTGTCGATTTCATGTTCAAAGAATATTATGATGATTCACTGAGTAATAATAAAAATATACAGAATCATATTTTCTCCAATTTTCTTCTAAAACTACACTACTAGTTTGGGGTCGGTAAGATTTTTTTATGATTTTGAGAGAAGTCTCTTATGTTGCTTTTATTTGATCAAAATACAGTAAAAACTGTAATATTATGAAATATTATTACAATTTAAAATAACTGTTTTCTATTTTAATATATTTTAAAATAAAATGTATTCCTGTGATGCACAGCTGAATTGTCATCATTACTCCAGTCTTCAGTGTCACATGATATTTCAAAAATTATTCGAATATGCTGATTTGATGCTTAAGGAACATGTCTTATTATTATCAATGTCGAAAACAGTCATGCTGCTCAATATTTTTGTGGAAACCATGATACATATTTTTCAGGATTTAATTTAAATTTAGCATTCATTTGAAATAAAAAAAAATGTTACAATGTAAAAGTCTATTGTAGCTTTTTATCAATTTAAAGCATCCTAACTGAATAAAATAATTATGTTTTTACAAAACAAACAAACAAAAAAAACTCCTACTGATCTCAAACTTTGCACTGTAGTCTATATACTATAGAAAGATGTTTAAAATATATTCGAATATTTCTACATGAAGTTAATTAAATTTACAACGCATGTTAAAGCTTTGAAGCATGTTGAAGTATTAAATGCATTTGAAACCATGTCTTTGACAAGCACACATATCTATTTATGTCATCAGTAACAAAACATTTAAGGATGGAAAGTGAATCCGTCAGGTCTGAGTGGACTCTAGACATTCCTCCTCTGGCTACTGAAAAGTCTTAACAAAGACGTAAAGCTAGGCCTGGCGGCACCTTAAGGGAGAGGACCGCGTGAATGGAGGGTGACCGGGGGGGCTTGAGTTATGGGTGTATCACTTTCAACATGACCTTTCAGTACCTCTCATCGCCGGCCCTCCCAAGACGACGCCAGCTATTCATCTCTCCACCTCCTAGGATTCACAGCCCCCGACCTGATTACCCTGACCACACAGTATCCTCTTGCACTATTTATATGCACTTTTCATAAATAAACTTGCCACTGAAGCACCATAAGCACATGGGCTCAGTGTTGGCCCTCAAAGGAATTTAATCTGCAGATCAGTGAATTCAAACTGTTGTGATTGAAACAACAATCATAATAGTTTTAATTCACTGATATGCTCCCTTACAGCAGATTTTGTGTTCATAAGCTTTCGATTACTGAAGTAGAAATTATGGACTATCAACCCTTCATTTGATACTGGCAAATATGTGATTTTTATACAGTACAGTATAGTAAAGTACATATCTCAATAAATAGGTTTTCATCTGTGACATGTCCTCTTTTCTCAAAACCAATTTACACAGAAGCCAAACTAATGAAACAAATCCCAAGAGGTTCTACGACATATTACCTAAATACCCACCTCTTTAAAGCAGGGCATATGCCTAATTGTTTGACTTCACTGGTTAATGAGCCTCTTGTGCTACTGAAGTTGTTAATTGGTTCCATATATTGTAAATATGTTCAAATTAAAAAGCTTTTTATGATGTGAGTTGTGCTAAGAGCAAACCTAAATGTAACACTGGCATTTGCTGTTCTATGGCTCCCTCTAGTGTTATACATACAAAATGCAACTATATGATAGTATTCTTGCTATATTTCAGTTTATTTTGCATCAGTTGTGTTTATTATTTACACTGCCGCTCAAAAGTTTGGGATCAGTAAGATTTATATTACTTTTTAAAGAAGTCTGTTATGCTCATCAAAAATACAGAAACAATGGTAATATTGTGAAATATTATTACAATTTAAAATCAGTGTTTTTATGTGAATATATTGTAAATCATAATGTATTCCTGTGACGCAAAGCTGAATTTTCAGCATCATTACTCCAGTCTTCAGTGTCACATGATCCTTCTGAAATATGATCAGTGTCGTAAACAGGTACTGTTTGTTTTTTTTTGTTTGTTTTTTTACATGTGATACTTTTTTCAGCATTCTTTGATGAATAGAAAGTTAAAAAGAACAGCATTTATTCAAAATAGAAACTTTTTGTAAGGTTCCAAAAACAAATATTCAGCAGCAAAAACTGTTTCTAACATTGATAATAAATCAGCATATTTTAGAATGATTTCTGAAGGATCATGTGACACTGAAGACTGACGTAAAGATGTTGAAAATTCAGCTTTGATCACAGCAATAAATTATATTTTAAAGTATATCAAAATAGAACACTGTTATTTTAAATTGTAATAATATTTCACAATATTACTGTTTTTTTCTGTATTTTTGATCAAATAAATCCAGCCTTGATGAGCAGAAGAGACTTCTTAAAAATGTAATACAAATCTTACTGATCCCAAACTTTTGAACGGTAGTGTAGATTTTGTGATCATAACGATATATTTAATGAATCATTTATAGAATGATTAGTACACTTTCTCTTTTATTTCCTCAGAGCAGAGCTTAAGTGTCATGGATCTGTAATGGGTTTGATCATAACAATCGCTCAGAAAAGAACTATTACATTACATTATTGTAGTATAGCGTCAACTTTAACGTAAATCTATACATTACATTTTATTTAAAAAAAATACATTTTAAACAAAACATTCTGAGATACGCATGCCGTTTTTGTGAGAAAAAAAAGAGAAACAATTACAGTGTTTATGTTTTGTTTATGTATTGTTCTGAACGAATTCTAACCGAAAGCGCTACCCTTACGAAAAATAAGTTTATTCAAGTGTGCTATTAGTATACTTCTTTTAAACTAAAAATAGGAAAGTATACTTTGTCTACTTTTTATGTACTTCTCAGAAATGGGCTTTATGTACTTCTCTTAAATGACATTTAAGTATACTTGACTTATACTTAGAAAAAGTCTAAATATATTTTAGCTATAATTGTGCTCCTAGAATCTGTGTTTTCATTGTTATACTGTAGGGGGTGCTAGTACACATCTTCTGTACAGAATTTCCAAAAAACCCAAGTGAAGAAGAAACCGAAACAACAGATGCTTCCACATGTAATCTAACATGATCATCAGACATAAAACAGCATCAAAACTGTGTAACGTTATGGAATAAAATGTCGACCAATCAAGAGGAAATAATGACTGTCAAGCTTTGGGGTGTTGCTCGACTTTATCTACGTTTTGATTATCATTCTGAATCCAATTCATAGTCTTTTTTTTTTTTAGCTTTTTGTTCAAAATGTTATTTCTTTATTTTTTATGAAACTTACCCACATTCAGGTGTTTAAAAAAGAATGCATGAAGCTAGAATAAAATGTTTTTGTTTACAAGCAGATACCGTTCTTTCTTTTGATGTTTTGTATGTTCAGATATCCATGTAACAAAATATATACAAATTAATACCTAAATAGGGACATAGTAGTATACTTAAAGTATGATGTAAAGTTCACTTAAAGAAAACGTACGAGTATACTTGCAGTATAAAACTACTAAACTAGTAGTTCACTGAGACTATACTTCAAAGTGTACTAAAAATGCTACTACAAGTATTTAATTAGTAAACTATCAGTATACCTATAAGTTCACTTTTACTATAGTTGCAGTACAAACTAAACATTTTGATGTAAACTAGTTGTGTACTCAAAGTTTACTACTGTTATACTTAAAAGTATACTTTTATATACTAGAAAGTGGGCCAATTTAGTCCCAAGGAGTATTGAAATAGTACACTTACAAGTATACTACTAGTACACTGATATTTGTATACTTACTACATAAAGTATACTTGAACTTTACTTAAGTATACTTACTAAAATAAACTTGAAGGATACTACTTTTAGGTAAGGGTAGAGCGAAAACTGTTTCCATGGTTACCCTCTCGACTTTTGTTAGTGAGCGTCTTCTTTTTTTGCGCGTGTGTTCCTACTAACTTTTAATTTTCTGTGGTTAAACACTCCTGTGTGTGTGTGTGTGTGTGTGTGTGTGTGTGTGAAAACAATAGATACTCACTACTACGGAGAACTCCTCAGTCTAGTGTGTTGACTTCCGTTGAGGGGTGCAACTCTTAATGAGCTTCCTCAGAATGTGCACTGTGCACTATGCACTATTAAGACATGTTAACGGCAGACAGTGACCGTGTCCCGCCCGTGAGTGACAGCTGGTCACCTGCTCTGTCCGTACGCGGAGCTCAGCTCGTGTTGTCAGCGCGGTGAAGCTGTCAGTCACGTTCATTAATGCAGGTGACCGTAGAGCGCATCGAGCCGAGCGGCGGACCTAAGTTCCAGCATGGCTTTCCTGACAGACATGATCGCTGTGGTTTCAGCAAGTCTCCGCTAGACTCGGAGCGAACACTTCAATGGAAGAAGAGGACAAGAAGAGCTCAGGACAATATGAGTCCGGTCCGAGAGAGAGATGACAGCTTGAAGTAAGCGCCTTCTCTTTCACCTTCATGCCAGACACTGGAGTTTTAGAACAATAACCTGTTGATTCTTTGGATGTTTAGAATGTCCTTGTTATTTAAATTGAAATGTCTTGGGATTTTCATGTCTAAAGGTTGTCTACTACACATGCACTTCAGGAATAAGGGGCAACACTGTTATTTAGTGCGGTGTACAATAAATAAAACCTACAATGCAGTCAAAACTGTGTTCTTTTGTGGCACGATCTCGATCTTCAATATTTAATTGAATTGTGCTCAGTACTTGATAACTAATTAATACAAGACTAATGTCATAGAATCAGGGTATAGTCTTTCCTTTGGCACGAGCATATCTAATTGCTCAATCTACACCAGCATTTAGTTACGACTGAAGTCCCTTACTAGAGCTGATCTTTGTAAATTGTTGAAGCAAAAGTGTAGCTTTCCTTTGATGCAGGTTTAAAAAGAAGACTGCGGACTTCCAGGCACTGTCTTCTGAATAGACATGTACAAGGCCTTAGAAATAGTTCACCCAAAAATGAAAATGTGATGTTTATCTGCTTACCCCCAGGACATCCAAGATGTAGGTGACTTTGTTTCTTCAGTAGAACACAAATGATGATTTTTAACACAAACCGTTGCAGTCTATCAGTCATATAATGCATGGCAATGGTAACAAAGTCTATGAGTGTAAAAAAAAACATGCACAGACAAATCCAAATTAAACCCTGCGGCTCGTGACGACACATTGATGTCCTAAGACATGAAACGATTGGTTTGTGCCAGAAACCGAACAGTATTTATATCATTTTTTTTACCTCTAATACACCACTATGTCCAACTGCTTTGAGCGCGCGTAGTTTCTTGTAGTAGTACGCCAGAGCGCGTACACACCTCACGCACCGGATGCCGTGCACGCGCCCAAAGACAGTTGTGTCACGGTACGTGCGGGGAGATGAAGCGAGGACTCAATTGCTGGAGAAATGGTATTTTATTTTAGTAAAAAATTAAACAAAAACAAACTCAAACCACCCCGAGGGGGAAAAACAGACAGGCAGAGCTAAAGCTGCACACATGCAGACACGAAACACACACAATGAGAAATGACGGATCAGCACAGGACGGCAGACACAAGGAGAATAAATAGGAACCAAACGAGGAGGCTAACGAGGGAGACACAGGTGGAGCAACTAAAACAATAACGAGGTAACAAGATGGGAGGGGCCAGACAATAGACAGGAGAGAGCACATGGCAACAGACAAACACAACACAAGCCATGTGCTCCCAGAACACAGTCATCTGGTGGCCCTCCTGGGCACACCGGCTGAAGACTGTGACAAGTTGGACATGGTGGTGTATTAGAGGTAAAAAATGATGTAAATACTGTCTAGATTTTGTTACCATTGCCAGGCATTATACGACTGATAGACTGCAACGGCTGGACTTAAAAATCTTCATTTGTGTTCTACAGAAGAAACAAAGTCACCTACATCTTGGATGCCCTGGGGGTAAGCAGATAAACATCACATTTTCATTTTTGGGTGAACTATCCCTTTAAGTAAGTGAAGCAGAGTATTGTTGTGCTAAGAAGAGTTTAAGAATAAATTTGCTGTTTTTATCTAATGTATGGTGAAAGATCACTAAGCAATTGAAATGTCTTTTAGCTACACGGCACATATGCATTTCTCCTCAGCAAACACTTTATTTCATTGTTTGATTGTTTAATTTGCGATACCGATATCCTTATATATCCTAGAAGGTAGCCTATACGCAACAAGTGACAGCTAGTGTTCGCGTTTTACTGAATTACTGAAAATGAAAAATAAAAATCATCAAAAATCAAAACAAGTACATTAGTTCAAATTGTTGATGAAGATTTTTTCCCCACACAGATACCATCAAATTTACAGATAACATTATCTTTTATATCATACAAAGCATTCATTTCCAAATTAGATAGATAGATAGATAGATAGATAGATAGATAGATAGATAGATAGATAGATAGATAGATAATACAACATCAAGAACCCAATTCACATACAAACATACAAAGCTAGCTACACTAAGCTTAAATATTTATATATTACTTGATATTATGTTCAGCAAGATTATTGTTTTAACAAGTGAGGTTTGATGTTATTTGAACCCTGGAATGGTGTGAAATTTTACAGGCTTGTACTGAGTGAAATCACTGTCCCGTTGTGCTTGCTGCTAAAAGGCAGACAAGAGAAAGAATCCATGTCAGTCAGCTGAGGCTTTCTGCTGCCATGCTGGTCATGCATGTTTTATTAGGCCCTGGCGGGCAACCTGCTGAAATTATGTGCTGTTTGCTCTGTGAGGGAAACCTGAGCCGCTACTGATGCTGGGCTTCCTTGTTGACCCCTGCCAACCATTGAAGCCCTCACCTGCTGCTAATTAGTTTTCCCCTTTCTCTGTGTTACTTGTCTTCTGTAGCTGTGGTGTCAGTTTGTGCTCCTGTGTGCACAGAGAGGTCCTGTTGTCTTCTTTATCTATTAATGTTTAAGAGAAATAGCTATTAGAGAAATAGTACTTGACACAAAATGCTTTTTGGGACTGAACATCTCCTACAGTGACATGCTATGCACCATCTAAAACTATTTTGCCAATTTTTGTATAAATACTACATTATTGCAATATAGGTATGCAACTTTCTTGACCTCAAATTACACAGTTTTGTTATCTGATCTGATCCTTTAAGAGAATAGTTCACCCCAAAATGAAAATTTGCTGGAAATCCTCAATCCAAGTTGTAGATGAGTTTGTTTCTTCATTGAAAACTGATTTTGAGAAATTTAGCATTATATCACTTGCTCACCAACGGATCCTCTGCAGTGAATGGGTGCCGTCAGAATGAGAGTTGATAAACAGCTGATATTGAAACATTACTGTAATCCGCACGACTCCAGTCCATCAATTAAAGTCTTGTGAAGTGAAAATCTTTGTATTTGTAAGAAACAAATCCATCATTAAGGCATTTTAACTTTAAACCCTTGCTTCTGTCCACAACACAATAATCCACAAGTAATCCACATGACTCCAGTCCATCAATTAAAGTCTTGTGAAGTGAAAATCTTTGTATTTGTAAGAAACAAATCCATCATTAAGGCATTTTAACTTTAAACCCTTGCTTCTGTCCACAATCAATAATTACCCTTCCTCCAGTGAAAAAGTACGTTCCCCATTGTCCTCTTACATCAAAATCCACCAACGTATTTGTTTAGAACTCTTTTCACTTGTAAAACGGTGCTTGATCTGTGCACATTTCTCACCTGATTCAGACGAGATGACTTTGTCACTGGAGAAAGCAATATTATGGATAGAGGATTCATATTTTAGCTATGCAGAATCAATGGTTTGATGGATGTCTTGATGGAGTTATAAACGTGCAGCTTTTCACTTCACAAGACTTTAATTGATGGACTGGAGTCATGTGGATTACTTGTGGATTATTGTGTTGTTTTTATCAGCTGTTTGGACTCTCATTCTGATGGCACCCATTCACTGCAGAGGATCTATTGGTGAGCAAATTATATAATGCTACATTTCTCAAAATTTGTTTTGATGAAGAAACAAACTCATCTTCATTTTGGATGGCCTGAGGGTTAGTACATTTTCAAAAATGTTTATATTCCAAGATGGAAAAAAATGGGATGGATGCTAAGGTGCACACCTGTGAGTCATCCAGGGGAGGGTGGGGACTATCAGGCACCTGTGCTGTGCCACTGTAGCGTGTCCAAACACTCCCTTGATGGAGCTGAAGGAACAGATCCGAGGCACCTCTGTTCAGGACGGGGGGGAAGAGGAGGACATTCATGTTGACCTGCAGAGGAAACAAGAAGTTACACATTTTTTATGGCTGATCTGTAAGTGTAAGTGTGAATGTTGCTGTCTGTTTTTGTAATTGTTGGGCTTGGTACCATACATACCATAGAGGAATATTTCACCCATGCACTGTGCATTGGGCTTTGGGTGGGCCACCCTGCCTCCTGTGCTCTTGCACTACCCAGACAGCTGCAGGGCAGCATGCCGTGACAGACATACTGGACTCATTGTAATTGGGTAAGTTATTTGTTAAGTTATGGCATTTTAGAAGGAACAATCACATCTCATCAAAACTTTAACATTATGCATTATTGGAAGTTTAAGAATGTCTTTGGTTACATCAGCAAGGTCACTTGTACTAATTATGCAAGTTATAACTTCAGTAAGCCCATTGTAATTGTATCTGATTTGACATGTTATTTGGTTTTAAAGAATGAAATGTTTTGAAATATTTTTGTATTTTTGTAGTTTACAGTTATAACCAGCACCCATTTTATTCACAGAGGCCTTGATAAATACTGATACTAAAGCTGATGAATCGTAAAAGACCCGATAAATCTTCAAATTCTAGAACAATCAAAACAATTTTGAATAAATTTATATTCTCTCAGTTGCCTATTTTACTGTGTAAATTTGACAAATAAAGCTTCTTGTTGTCATAGGGATAAATGTGACTCCCCAACATGCCTGTATAATGTACTTTGATCTTGTACTGTCTAAATTATTCATGACATAATTGTCAGATAAATTAGAGGGAGTTTGAGACCGAGTGAAAGCTTGAAGGCGACAGCATCATGTGACCACCTGATACCTGGACGTGGATATGTTTTTCATAACAAAATTATTACAGTAGCTCTTTGCCTTGATTAGTACATTTTAAATGGTCCTGCTGTGGGACAAATACATTTTTATACACATATTACATGTAGTCTCTAAAATAATACAAGATTATAAAAGCTGCCTGCATAATAATTATTAAAGGATTATAAAATATAGCTTTAGATGGAATTTAGCAGGTTAACCACTGGATGCTTATTGTGCTTTTCGTTTCATCAATGTCTCTGAATGTATCACTGCAGCATGTGTTGTGTTCTGAGCATGACATAAATGGATCTTTTTTCCATTTTGATTCCCTTGTATCATGCATTAGGAAAAAGCTGCTCAACGTACTTGACAAAAGCTCAGTGCCTGACCCGTTCACCAGGAGTGTCAGCAGAGTCCCAAACAGTGGTCTCAGGTAACACAATCATTATTTTCATTTTAGAATACTCAGACCTTATTGTAAGGTTTCAGCTGTATAACATACTTGAGTTAGTATTAGTGACCTTTGAAAGTAGTAAACAGTCTTCAGAGCAACGTGAATGCCTCATTTCTTCATTGGTAGCATCTCGTCATGTGGTCAGACCTCTGCCGGTGGCACTACCTCCGTGAGTCACCTCCCTTCCCGCTCCGGCAGCCCAGGCACTGGCCCCGGTCTCTCCACAGAGCACAGCTCCATCTGCTCCTGGAGATATGATGTAATGTCTCTTTTCTTCTTCCAGATGTTTTGTAGCCTTTTCATTAAAATTGGTCTGAATTTTAGGATCACCTTCCATTCATTTCATGACTTTTCTAATTCAAGTTCATAAGAACTAAGAATTGGCCATACACCAAAGGAAGCTGCATTGGAAAGACAGGAAAGGGAATTGAATAACTGTACTATTTACACATTATGTATATTATTTATATCAAACATACTGAAATGGCCTGCGAGTGACCAGCCAGAATTAACATACATATCATTATTGTTTTTGGAAATATGTTTATGGTTAATATGTTGTATGGGTAATTCAAACAAAAAAAAATCTAATTATATATATATATATATATATATATATATATATATATATATATATATATATATATATAATATTTTACTTAAATTCATATTAGAATTCTGTATCCTGTGTGCTACTTCACTTGAAGTTCAGCAATTAAATAGGAAAGTAACATGAATTCTCAGTGAATTTCTAAATAGCATACAACACTGCAATTTATTACAATTAATATGCACCTGGTAACTAACGCTAGATCAATAAGAGACATCAGGGCATTTTTCTGTGAATCATTTTAAAGACTCCCAGGTTCCTGTTTTTAGTGCATGTGTCTAACTATTTCGAATGCTTCACTAGATGCATCTCCTCCTCAGCTGTGGGATTCTTTGCTTTGTGCACTGAGTGGTTTATTGTTTGGTTTGGCTTGTGTGCAGGAGTTTGAGCGGGCGAATACACAGCGTGTGCGTCAGCTCTTTAACTCTGTGGATGAGCTGCTGTATGAGGGGAGAGTCAGCAGCCGCTCGGAGTCCCTGCAGGAGGAGTGTGAGGAGTGGAACGGACATACCCCCCATCTCAGGTACAGCTCCTTTGTGAGAGAAATTTGACTGTTCTGTGGCTGAAAGGGTTAGGTAAATTTTGAATTTCAAAATTCAATAAATTCAATAAAAAAGTTATATTCATCATATAATCCTGGGGGAAAAATATCACTGTTTTCACAAAAATATTGAGCAGTTTTCTACACTGAGTAGATGTTGACAAGTGACTTACTCAATATTAACGTAATTTGAGTTGTTGTATAAAAGCACTATCACACAATGCTGCCTCTTTTTTACTTCACAGAAACTGCCAAGCCATCACTGCTAGTTTTATAATGTTTACAAATTAAAGGGGTCATATGATGCTGCTAAAAAGAACATTATTTTGTGTATTTGGTGTAGTGCAATGTGTTTATGCGGGTTAAGGTTAAAAAAACACATTATTTTCCACATACTGTACATTATTGTTTCTCCTCTATGCCCCGCCTTTCTGAAACGTGTCGATTTTTACAAAGCTCATCGGTCTGAAAAGCGAGGTGTGCTCTGATTGGCCAGCTATCCAGTGCGTTGTGATTGGCCAAATACCTCAAGCGTGTGACGGAAATGTTACGCCCCTCACCATACTGTGATGCGCGACGAGACAAAACCTCCTCCATAAAATGCGCTGGACACATCTGAATATCTGGGTTGAAGTGTTCTGGAACAGTGTTGTAAATACAACTTAACCACTGATTTCTAGTCGTGTCCTCTTTTGGAAGAGTAGTTTCACTTTCACAACGAAACACACAGCGTCTTCACAACATGGCGGCGGTGGTGGCAGCAACAATAAAGTTACGCCTTCTTTCTTTACGTGAACATTTGGGTGGTGTTATGCAAATCTTCCGATCATCGTGACGTAGACATGTGGGGGCGTGTTTAAACGAGGCGTGGACCAGTCTTAACTTTTATAAAGAATATCTCTTTGGGTTTGAGACTTTAGTCTTTGCAACTTTAGGGATCTTGTCTATTCACGAAAACCTTGTACCACTCCAAAGAGAAAGGAAAACTTGAAATCGCATCATATGACCCCTTTATGGTTTCTTCCCAAGTTTGATATTGCTTTATTTCATCCACTTTAAATCCAAATAAATTTCAGCAAATTCAGTAATTTATTTAGTATTAAAAAAGAATGTTCAATTAATTTTTAAAGCTTGCACAACCCTGCTAGCTGATACTGTCTTGTTGTGTTTCATCATTGACCACAGAATTTTAGGGAATCAATTGGAGCCTCCCAAACAGGAGGGTGTTCAGTACATCTGCAGACGAGAGTCCAGTGCCAGAACCTCCTCCTTCTCCACATCCACCTGTCTGGACAAAAGAGAAGACCATAGCGAGTAAGCCCCTCAACAACATGAAATAACAGTTGAATTAACAAAAATACATGGGTTAGATTTACTGTTTACTCAAATATATGCCGTTTAATTGATTAGTTGCTTCGGTTTAAGAATTTAAAAACTCACAACAGGGATCATTTCATTGTTTGAACTGTATACAGAGTATACAGTATAAGTTCTGTGATTTATATGTGGTTCCATTTAATAGTTGTTCACTGAGAGTTAATGTGTTTACTTGAGTCTCCTTTTAGGGCACTGAGCAGTGATGGAGGTCTGTCTGGCTTAGGGCCAGTGTAGATGGTTGGAAAAAGCCTGTAAAACTTGTCAGGGAAGAATAGAATCAGCAGACATTTATTTTCAAGCAAACATATTTGATTGCTTGCAGTGTGTTTCATACCGTCTTTGTATGAAATGCTTCAAGTCAGGTGTCATAAAATAAATTTAAGGACACATTAAATTGACTAAAAGTGACAGTAGAGACATTTATAATGTTACAAAATATTTATATTTCAAATAAATGCTTTTGAACTTTCTATTCATCCAAGAATCCTGAAAAATGTTCAGGATCTCAGTTTCCACAAAAATATTAAGCAGAACAACTGTTTTCAACATTGATATTAATAGCATAAAAGCATATTAGAATGATTTCTGAAGGATCATGTGACACTGAAGATTGGAGTAATGATGCTGAACATTCTTTTTGCCATCACAGGAATTTAATTTTTTTTAAATATTTTAAAGCAGAAAATGTTTATGGTATGTAATATTTCATGATATTACTGTATTTTGATCAAACAAATGCAGCCTTGATGAGCATAATAGACTTGTTTAAAAATCTTACCATCATCAAACTTTTGGATAATATAATATAATATAATATAATATTTATACTGTGCCCTCCACTAATATTGGCACCCTTGGTAAATATGAGCAAAGGTGGCTGTGAAAATAAATCTGCATTGTTTATTCTTTTGATCTTTCATTCAAAAAATTCACAAAATTGTAACCTATAAGTTGGGGGAAAATCTCATTATGAAATAAATGTTTTTCTCTAATTCACGTTGGTCACAATTATTGGCATCCAATTATTGCAACGTCCTTTTGCCAAGATCACAGCTCTGAGCTTGAAGAACACCTGACAGGAGATCAGAGATCATTCCTTCATCCAGAATTTCTTCAGATCCCCAGCTCCATGTTGGCGCTTCTTCTCTTCAGCTCATCCTAATCATTTTCTATATGTTTCAGGTCAGGAAACTGGGACGACCATGACAGAAGCTTCATTTTGTGCTCAGTGACACATTTGACACATTGATTTTGATGTTTGTTTTGGATCATTGTCCTAATGGAATATCCAACCACGGCCCATTATAAGATTTCTAACAGAAGCAGTCAGGTTTAGATTTTTTATCTGTTGGTATTTGATAAAATCCATGATACTATGTATCTGAACAAGATGGCCAGGACCTCTGGCAGAAAAACAGGCCCACAACATTAAAGATCCAGCAGTATATTTAACCATGGGCATGGGGTACTTTTTATCCCTTTTTGCACTAAACCCATCTGTCCTCCAAAAAGCTATTTTTTTAGTTTCATCACCAACAACATGCATTGGAGAAAAACATGTATTTCATAATGTGAGTTTCCCCCCACTTTCAATTGTTTTACTTTAATGAAAGGTTAGAATTTTGTGATTTTTTTTTGAATTTTTTGAATGAAAGATCAAAAAGTTAAACAATGCAGATTTATTTTCACAGCCACCTCTGAAAAATGTTCAGGATCTCAGTTTCCACAAAAATATTAAGCAGAACAACTGTTTTCAACATTGATATTAATAGCATAAAAGCATATTAGAATGATTTCTGAAGGATCATGTGACACTGAAGATTGGAGTAATGATGCTGAACATTCTTTTTGCCATCACAGGAATTTAATTTTTTTTAAATATTTTAAAGCAGAAAATGTTTATGGTATGTAATATTTCATGATATTACTGTATTTTGATCAAACAAATGCAGCCTTGATGAGCATAATAGACTTGTTTAAAAATCTTACCATCATCAAACTTTTGGATAATATAATATAATATAATATAATATTTATACTGTGCCCTCCACTAATATTGGCACCCTTGGTAAATATGAGCAAAGGTGGCTGTGAAAATAAATCTGCATTGTTTATTCTTTTGATCTTTCATTCAAAAAATTCACAAAATTGTAACCTATAAGTTGGGGGAAAATCTCATTATGAAATAAATGTTTTTCTCTAATTCACGTTGGTCACAATTATTGGCATCCAATTATTGCAACGTCCTTTTGCCAAGATCACAGCTCTGAGCTTGAAGAACACCTGACAGGAGATCAGAGATCATTCCTTCATCCAGAATTTCTTCAGATCCCCAGCTCCATGTTGGCGCTTCTTCTCTTCAGCTCATCCTAATCATTTTCTATATGTTTCAGGTCAGGAAACTGGGACGACCATGACAGAAGCTTCATTTTGTGCTCAGTGACACATTTGACACATTGATTTTGATGTTTGTTTTGGATCATTGTCCTAATGGAATATCCAACCACGGCCCATTATAAGATTTCTAACAGAAGCAGTCAGGTTTAGATTTTTTATCTGTTGGTATTTGATAAAATCCATGATACTATGTATCTGAACAAGATGGCCAGGACCTCTGGCAGAAAAACAGGCCCACAACATTAAAGATCCAGCAGTATATTTAACCATGGGCATGGGGTACTTTTTATCCCTTTTTGCACTAAACCCATCTGTCCTCCAAAAAGCTATTTTTTTAGTTTCATCACCAACAACATGCATTGGAGAAAAACATGTATTTCATAATGTGAGTTTCCCCCCACTTTCAATTGTTTTACTTTAATGAAAGGTTAGAATTTTGTGATTTTTTTGAATTTTTTGAATGAAAGATCAAAAAGTTAAACAATGCAGATTTATTTTCACAGCCACCTTTGCTCATATTTACCAAGGGAGCTAATATTAGTGGAGGGCACTGTATGTAGATTTTAGGAAGAGATGCAAGTTCAAGTTTAACTAATGTTCTTCAACAATTTCTTGTCATTATATATAATTTATCACAGTGTTATATTTATCTCTAGAGTTACTCCTGAACTTTTTAAGGTCATTCTTATCTTACAAAAAATGTGTGGGGTCCTTTATCTCCTGATTAATGGGCTCCCGCTATTGACTGTTTCCTGGGCTTAACTCTTTCTTTTTACTTGACTGCACTTATCTTGTTTTGAAATATGCACTGAAGCCTATCATACATTATACATTTGATATAACACATAAAACCAACCCTCAAGGAGGAGGCCTCTCACCTGATTAAAAATATGCAATATGTTATGAAGACACTGCACTGAACGTGTCCACAGGCAATGCATTTATCTGTCTGGCCTGGCTGTGGTGAGAATTTGCTTCCTCCCTCATTTCTCTCTCTCTCCCTCTGCCTGCAGGCTGTATGTAGCAGGCCGCAGTCTGGCCCCGGGCCTTTGGTGTGAGCAGTCTGTCCGGAGCTCCAGCTCCCGTCTCTATGAGCATTCACTCGACCTCACTGAGGAAGAGGAGGTGTATGAAGCAGAGGGCAGCATAGAGGAGTTTCTGGCTTATGATGGAAAAGAAATGTACATCACAATTGATCTTTTACTCAAAATGCTTAGAACTTTTTCCCCCTGAGATTCATATACTTAATATACTAGATTAATAAGCAAGCATACCATAAATTTGTCATACATTTTTGCCTTTGCTTCATGAACAAACCGTAATTGTAAGGAAGACTGGGATAGATTTATTTTTGAAAATTCTTGGCTTCTAAAAAGCTATTAATTTCAGCTATTCGTAAAGCTATTGAACATTTCAGCTGGTACTGCTCAAGGAAATATATATATAGTAGATATATAAAACTATTATCTTACAAATATAATAAAAAAAAAATATTGTTTATAACATATATGAATTAGGAATGTGACATCTTGCCCTAAAATATGATAATATTGAAATTTTAGTTTGGGGGGAAAAAATCTGTGAATAAACAAATCCAAATAATTGGATCTTTGACTCAAACATTGTAGTCACTGTGAGGTTTCAGTAATCTTTGTGGAAAAAATTGGCTCCAGTCTACCTTACATTTGATTTCCATTGAAGCAAAAAAAAAATTCTTTGCACTTCAATAGACATTCAGTCACTGCCTGGTGATCTAAATTCTACAAATGCTGTACTGTCTCATTACATTCTGTTATCTGCTGCAGTTTTATTCACCATAAATGGACTGTTAATAGTGTGCACCCATTTTAAGGCGTTCAGTCAGAAGGGAATATTTAGTTGTAACTTGTGTAATTCTTTTGACTTTAGGGAAGAGGAGGAGGTGGATCAGAGGAAGTCTTCATCCGTGGCCCCCAGGGGTGGAGTCCCCCCAGTTTCCCCTCATGCATGCATCCGTGATGCAGTTGCAGATGAGCTGTTTGATGACACATGGAGGGAGGTGGTGGGCCTTCTGGAGGAGCTCTTACACAAGTACTGGGAGAAGCAGCTCCCGGGTGTGTCTGAATTACTGAATAACTAAACCAGCAGAATTAGCCAACAGTACATGTTTGATCATTAGATCCTGGGTGGGTGAAGAACCACAACACAGCTTTTGCATACTTAAAGACCCCTTAAGTTGAGTTTTGTAGCTTTTAGACCATGTATGTACAATACAGTTAAAAAAATTAGAGTTGGTATGATTTTATGGTTTTGAAAATCTCAAGGCTGCGTTTATGTGATCAAACATGCAGTAAAATTAATGTTGTGAAACGCTGTTACAATTTAAAAAAAATGTTTTTCTATTTTAATATATTATAAAATGTAATTTATTCCTGTGATGGCAAAGCTGAATTTTCAG